TAAACAGTCTTAAATAGCGTGAGTAATTCTCTAATTTTCAACAATAATAAATTTCCTATTGACAATACTTGTAATAAGATTATCTATGTTAAATGTAATTTACTTGAAGTGATATTGCATTAAAAACACCTTTTACACAACATTTGAATATATATAGTTATATTAATGATTTGAAGAAGTATATAAATATATATATATATATATGACGAGAAAATATTTGTGTACTGACATGTTATGTATTTATTAATTTAATGTGAATATTTAGGTCTAATTTGGTCATGTGACATGAAATAATGACTTAAAATTATGATATGAAATTATGAGATGAAATTGATGTTTTATTTCTCAAAATCATAAAACCCATAACTTGTAAAATTATCAAAATTGTCTCAATTTTTTATACAATCTTATTAATTAAGCAAAGTTTTATAAAATAACATGATATACTATCACAAAGCTATTCTAAAATATTAAAATATTTATTAATCAAACTTTAATTCTGTATAAAAACTAAATGTAAGTGGTAGTGTCTAATATTTAATTTAATTCTCTCACATACTATAAACATTCTTCTCACGTTGAACTTGCATTTCTCGATTATACGATCGAGAATGCGAACGATTATTGTTACTTTGAGCCATTTGTTTGTGAATTTGACTGGTATATAAATTGATAAAGATAATGAATTTGGTTAATGTAAATGGTAGAGCATGAATTGATTTAATGTAATAATATTATTATGTCGGTAAAAATAATTATTATATAAGATATAAACGATTTTAAAAGTAATGATATGAATCATGAATTTAAAAAGTCACATATGAAAAAAATAGTTAGTAGATTAAAATGGATATTCAAACTAGAAGTGAAACTATATATCTCGTATGACCCTTTATTCTAAGCTTGTATTTGGATATACGATATGATGTCTTGAATTTCAAATTATGATTTCATTTTTTTGAAATGCTAATACTTGACCTATAAGTTTATATTTTGTAAACCATCATTTTGAATTTTGTGAAAAAGGACTCATGCTTTCAGTGAAGAGATTATTCTACCACGTCAATGTGATATAATTATATTAAAGAATAACTAACTATTACTACTATACTATTGACCATTAAATCTTTATAAAATTATGCAGATCTGGATGTTTTAATCACAAATAATTTATTATAAAAAAAATGATATGTGATTTATCGACAAAGCACCTTTGAATATTTCAATATCAAATCATGATTTCACATTGAATGACTGAATCATCCGTAAGAAAATATTTATTCAATGTGCTATTTATATTGATTTACTAACTTAATTTGAAAATAAGATTAAGTTCGTAATAATTGATCATATATTAAATTTATTGATATGATTTCAATATATATTAGGAATAAAAGTTTTTTTTTATGGATAACTTAACTTAGTGAATATCTCATTTAAAAGTTCAAATTGTTGAAGAAAACTTATCTTTTATTTAGTTAATCATATCAATCACTGTTAAAAGCAAGTCTAAATCTTTACTAAGCTAAACTTGAATATAAAACAACTAAAGATATATTTGACTACTCTTTTTTCTTTATTTATGAAAATAATAGCAAGAAAAACGTCACTTATTAGGACATAGGACAACAAACTTAAATATAATTGATCATCGTATATTTTTTAAAATATAGAGAAAAATTTGGAATTTATTTTTATTTTCATGAATGATTCTCGGAAATAAATATCAATGACTTAGTAATTGAATTTGTGGATTTCAGTATGAATAACCACTTTAACGAAATAGATAAGTAGCAACAACAAAATTGTCATCTTAGCAATAAGATTTATAACCACAAAAATATATAGTGATAATTGAATTAATGTTATTGCATCCATGGTAACTAAAACCTTTAACAATTTTTACATAGAGTATTGAATATAAATACTCATATTTATTATTATAGCTAATATATAATATAACGATAATTATATTTTCCCTGTTAAATAATTGTCTCACAATCATTTATTTATCATAATCAACTAAAGTTTGAAATTAACAAATCAAATTTCCCATCTAGAGGTGAATAATTTTCTTAAGGAGTCACTGTGAATTCAATAAACTTGATCTTTCCGCTGTTCTAATTTTCAAATTTTGGTACGTTTACAGATTTTAGATTTTTTTAAATTAAATTTATGTTCATCTTTCTTACTGGTTCAGTAAATTTTGATTACTTTGTGTTTTTGTAAAATTTATTGAAATCAGTAATTCTGATTTTATCAAATAGAGACTGCTAACATATACTATATATGAAATATTGATTTATGTGAAAATATACTTCTCATATATGTACTAGATGATTTTAAATTTAAATGCTTGGACAAATCAATCTCTTACAAAAATAATTTTTATGTTTAATTACTGTCAAAATCCACAAATATTATATTATATTTTTTTTGACATTTTTATCCATTTCTATCTCTTCATCTCTTTTGAAGAAAGTTTGATTTTTTCTCTTTCAAATGGATCCATCCCCATTCACACCGAAGAAGACGAATAATATTTTCTTTTTGGTTCCCTCATTCTTAACTATTTTCCTTTCATCTCTATTACAACTTCTGTCTCATTGTCATGTTGTTCTTCTCAAACGTTTTACTAAGTTTTGGTGAAGGTCTGATCTCACTGAGTATTATGTGTTGGATTATCAATGATAACATGAAAATGTCTATCGTTGTGTTGGAGAAACAATTAAAATATCTATATAAAATTATAATTGCTATATTTAAATGTGCCCTAAATATAAAGGGTCTAGTTCAATTTGACAAATACCAATTTTTATAATTAAAAAAGAGATACGATTCGAATAATTTCACCATGTCACCTTCAATTTTACTTCTTCTTTGTTTTCCATATCAAATATTGTCGTCACCATTATCAATATTCATGTTTCCTTCTTTATCATATTCGATTTCCTTTTCTAGTTTTTGCCACCTATCACCAAGCACAACCAAAATCATATAATTGTCATCACCAACAAATAAAAAATTGTAAAATTCCTTTAACAAAATCAAAAAATAAAAAAAAAATTGAACTTCTTTAACAAAAGTCAAAACAATTTTTTCCAAATCATAAAAAGTTGTACTATATTGAATTGGTTATTGTGTTCAAAGATAAGCAAACGTTACAACTGAAAACAAGAAGAAGCTACTAAAAACCCAATAGAGAGCACCAGACTTTTTCTTATATATAAATGAATCTTGATTTTCTCATCAACTTTATTGAAATAAAATTCAATTTGTTATGAATTTCAGTTAGCTAGACTTCTTCTAACTTTTAAGAATATCAAGCTTCAAATTGGAGGAAAGCAAAGTCTGCACTGAATTTAAATATATGTCTTTATTTTTCAATAACACTTGAAGATTCACCGGAAATGGTGTTGGCAGCCAGATGGAGGTTTTTCAAGGGTGATTTATCTTTTCTGATGATCCCAAGTAAGAATTTTGACATGACGTTGATAGGTTCACCCCCTCTTCATCATCGTCTAGGTTTTGTATGTCTAAACATCATAGCTTCCAAAATTTCAAGCTTAAAAAAATAAAGTGAATTATTACTATTTTTTTATTTATTCAGATTAATCTTATAGAAAATTATCCTAATTTTGAATAAAAAGAGAAAGTGTATTTTGCAATTGTGATAAAATATAAAGAACTGTGATGAAAACTAAAAATTGAAGAAGAAGAGGATAATGAGTCGACGTGATGAAGAGGAGGATGGTAGAGTTTGAGAAGAAGAAATGTTAAGGGTGGGGCATAAGGAAAATTTCGATTATTTTAATTTTTTTTTGACACGTATGTTTATATTTTTTTCTTGGTCATGTTAGTTTTAATAAATAAATAAATTCTGCTTTAAGTAATTAAAATATGTGACTTATAAATACTCACCATGCTAGTTTAAACGTGTAATTGACTTATTCGAATAAGTTAAAAAGGAAATTTATGTCTTTTCCTATTATATGAAGCATGTGATGCGTGTCATGTGGAAATTAAGATCTAAAATTTTGTAAAAGAACAAATAAAAAAGAAAAGTGAAAAAATAAATTAAAATTGAAAACTTAATACTTTATATTATTAAATTCTATGGATCAAAGACATGAGAAAAAAGAAATCAAAATGTTAAACGACTAGAGAACACAGAAGGACTTATTTTAAGCAACTACTTCTTATTTCTCACATGCCCATTTTTTGCTAAGGGCCTAGTTCTGCTTTTGGTGTTGTTAATCCAATTCTTCAAGAATTTTGGAGCGATGCCAATTTCATCACAAAATGGGATAACTTGTTCATTGCTCTTTGTCCATTTCCATCTCATTATCTCATTTGCAAAAATCCAAATCCTCTCTCTTTGGTAAGGATTCAACCTCATTCTCTTTGAAGAAGACGCATTGTACTTTCTTTTCAACTTTCTCACTTTTATCTCTCCTATATCCCTCTTCATTTTTGTCTCCACATCAATGTTATTCTTCTTAGACGTTTCACAAAATTGCGCCCTAGATTTCACTGTGTATTGTAGCGGTGGATCATCAATGATAACAAGGGGAGTACCTGTTATTATAGTTGAAGATATAATTAATTACCTATATATACAAAATTATTATTTCTAGATTTAAAAATTTCTTTGAAGTTTTAAGTGAGAAAGGAACAAAAAAAACAATCAATTTTCTTCTCTTTTAGTTTAGTAAACAAATTTTTGCCTTTAGATGTGTAGTTCTATAATCTTTAAGTTGACAGTAAATACAATTTAAAAATTTTCCTAAAAAAGAGAGAGCTCATATTTCTATGCATGATGATATGATGAATCGCATTTGACCTTCGAAAAAAATCAAATCAACAAGTGATATATATATATATATTTATATATATATATATATATATATTTATATATATATTTATATATATATATATATATTTATATATATATTTATGTTGAAACAAGTATGATTGATCTTTGTGATTTCAACAAGTACCGCGGCTAGGATGATTAATAGAAATGATAGGACTCTCCACCCCGTCCTCTAACTCCACCTCAACTTTTCTATGAAAGTTTCGATGGCAATGACAAGCAGCACAAATGAAGGATTCAAGCGTTTCAAGGGCACCAGTTGGACAAAATTCACCACAACCATCAAGTACATAACCATTAGATCTAGCTGCATAGTTATGCCTACACTCAAGATATTTCACAAGAAAATACTTCTTGTTGTTAGAAGCCATAAGAAAGAGAGCAATTAATTGAAGGATAGTTAGGTAGGAAACTAGTCTAGCGGTGAGAAAAAATAGGCAAAATAGTTAGTAGATAATATAGATGAGATGAAGGTTGAGGTGTCTGCTTACTAGGGTTGCATTACATGATCAAATGTCATTTGGAAATTGTTAACAAAACAAAACTTTGTACTTTATTGAAGTAATTCATGATTTTTGGAGTACTCCAGATATTAATCGTCATCTGCTTTTGTTTCTGCATTACCAAGTACTTGCTTAGTAAATTCATATATGAAATTAATTCAATCATTTATTTTTCATAATTAACTAAAGTTTGAAATTAACAAATTAAAATCTCTCTCACTCTCCCTCTCACTCTCTCTCTATTATAATTCTTATATATATACTAGATTATTTTAAGTTTAAATGCTTGGACAAATCAATCTTTTATAATTTTAAAATGTGTTTTGTCAACAAAAGAATTGTATATTAATGTATTCTAATTTAAGTTTTTAAATACATTATGTGTGCATTTTTTTTATTAAACCAAGAAAGGTCGTAAAATAATTAAAAAATCTCACCTATTATGTTTTTGTGTATTTAATTTACTCGGCATTCTTTAAAGAAAAATTGGTATTATTTTGTTTGTTTTTAAATAAAAATCTAGTTAAGTTGACAAAAGATGAACATGCTATTTTAATTTTTTTTCAGTTGAAGAAATAAAAGCATGACTTTCATGTGAAATAAATTACAAAATGAAAATATTTAAATAATTAAACAACCAACTCACACGATTAGAATATAAAATTTATACTTTGTTAAGTACTTGAATTATAAGTTAATTTTTGCAATAAATAAAAAATTTAATTAATAAAAGACAAAGTTAATAAACGATAAGATATAAGCGTTTGACAATTAGATGTATACATTTACTCTCTTTTACTTACTGTAATATTGCAAGAAAAAATTTATCAAACAAATCACAATTCTATTTCATCAAGCATCTAGATAACCATATGAAAATTAGAACTTAGACAATTCATTAAAATGAATTCAACTTAAATTCTTCCTTCTCTTTTCTAATGTAAAAGACATAATAGAAATTTATTACCATAAATTTATGCTAATAAAATAAAAATTGGCATCTTAGTTCATATTCATTCTTAGTAATGACCCCAACAAGGATCACACAAAACATTTTTATGGACTGAAGATTTTTCAGATCACATATTAGTAGAAAACAAGCCTCCTGACGTACTGAACTGACATAACTCGAGCCGTGAAAGGATGAAAATTAATCGATGCGTTTCAACCACAAGGTGGAATAACATGTGGGTGAATGAAGCGAGATCGAAGTATTGAAGGACGAAACAATGACTGACTATTCATGCGATGAAACCCCCTAAAACACCCACAATTAGCACAAATAAATTCTTCTTTAGTTCCATCATCACCCTTCACAAATTCACGACATCCATCAACCGAATAGTCACCAAACTTAGTAGCATGATTTTTTAGGCATATACCATATTTTATCGTCATATCACCATTTGGATTTGAGCTTGAGTTGCTTGCCATTTTTTTGGGGCTAAAGACTTAAAAGGGTGAAGTTTTAGTTTTTGCCTTTTGATTTGAGTTAAACAATCTTTAATAGTGTGAGTAATTCTCTAATTTTCAACACTTATTAATTTCCTATTGACAATACTTGTAATGAGATTATCTATGTTAAACGAAATTTAATTGAAGTGATATTGCATTAAAAACACATTTTTCACAACATTTGAATATATATAGTTATAATAATGATTTGAAAAAGTGTGTATATATATATATATATGACGAGAAAATATTTGTGTACTGACATGTTATGTATTTATTAATTTAATGTGAATATTTAGGTCTAATTTGGTCATGTGACATGAAATAATGACTTAAAATCAAGATATGAAATTATGAGATGAAATTGATGTTTTATTTCTCAAAATCATAAAACCCATAACTTATAAAATTATCAAAATTGTCTCAATTTTTTTATACAATCTTATTAATTAAGCAAAATTTTATAAAATAACATGATATACTATCACAAAGCTATTCTAAAATATTAAAATATCTATTAATCAAACTTTAATTCTGTATAAAAACTAAATATAAGTGGTAGTGTCTAATATTTAATATATTTCTCCCACATACTATAAACATTCTTCTCACGTTAAACTTGCATTTCTCGATTATTCGATCGAGAAGGCGAACGATCATTGTTACTTTGAGCCACTTGTTTGTCTATTTGATTGGTATATAAATTGATAAAGATAATGAATTTGGATAATGTAAATGGTAGAGCATGAATTGATTTAAAGTAATAATAATTTTATGTCGGTAAAAATAACTATTATATAAGATATAAACGATTTTAAAAGTAATGATATGAATCATGAATTTTAAAATTCACATATGAAACAAATAGTTAGTAGATAAAAATGAATATTCAAACTAGAAGTGAAACTATATTTCTCGTATGACCCTTTATTCTAAGCTTGTATTTGGATATGCGATATGATTCTTGAATTTCAAATTATGATTTCATTTTTAAAAAAAATTCTAATACTTGACCTATAAGTTTATATTTTGTAAACCATCATTTTGAATTTTGTGAAAAAAGACTCATGCTTTCTGTGAATAGATTATTCTACCATGTCAATGTGATATAATTATATTAAAGAATAACTGACTATTATTACTATACTATTGACCATTTTATCTTTATAAAATTATGCAGATTTGGAAGTTCGTAATCACAAATAATTTATTATAAAAAAATGATATGTGATTTATCAACAAAGCACCTTTGAATATTTCAATATCAAATCATGATTTCACATTGAATGACTTAATCGTCCGTAAAAAAATATTTAATTCAATGTGCTATTTATATTGATTTACAAATTTAATTTAAAGATAAGATTTAGTTCATACTAATTGATCATATATAAAATTTACTAATATGATTTCAATATATATTAGGAATTAAAGTTTTTTTTATGGATAACTTAATTTAGTGAATATCTCATTTAAAAGTTCAAATTGTTGAAGAAAACTTATCTTTTATTTAGTTAATCATACCAATTACAGCTAAAAGCAAGTCTAATTCTTTACCAAGCTAAACTTGAATATAAAAGGGATAATGTTCAAGTACCCCCTCAACGTATGCCCGAAATCTCAGAGACATACTTATACTATACTAAGGTCCTATTACCCCCCTGAACTTATTTTATTAATAATTTTTTACCCCTTTTTAGCCTACGTGACACTATCTTGTGGGTCCAACGATGGTTGACTTTTTTTTCAAACTAGTGCCACGTAGGCTAAAAAGGGGTAGAAAATTACTTATAAAATAAGTTCAAGGGGGTAAAAGGACCTTAATATAGTATAAGTGTGTCTCTGGGATTTCGGGCATAGGTTGAGGGGTACTTGTGCATTTTCCCAATATAAAACAACTAAAGCTACATTTGACTACTTTTTTTTCTTTATTTGTGAAAATAATAGCAAGAAAAACGTTCACTTATTAGAACATAGGACAGCAAACTTAAATATAATAGATCATCGTACATTTTTCAAAATATAGAGAAAATTTGAAATTTATTTTTATTTTCATAAATGATTCTCGAAAATAAATATTAATGACTTAGCAATTAAATTTGTGGATTTCAGTATGAATAACCACTTTAACGAAATAGATAAGTAGCGACAACAAAATTTTCATCTTAGCAATAACATTTATAACCACCAAAATATATAGTGATAATTGAATTAATATTATTACATCTAGGGTAGCTAAAACCTTTAACAATTTTTACATTAAGTGTTGAATATGAATACTCATATTTATTATTATAGCTAATATATAATATAACGATAATTATATTTTCATCGTTAAATAATTGTCTCACAATCATTTATTTATCATAATTAACTAAAGATTGAAATTAACGAAATAATATATATATATATATATATATATATATATTTCTTTGAATTGGAGTACTATGTAGTATTCTATATATATATTATATATGAAATATTGATTTGTGTGGATATATAATTCTTATATATATACTAGATGATTTTAAGTTTAAATGCTTGGGCGAATCAATCTTTTATAAAAATAATTTTTTATATTTAATTGCCGTCAAAACTCACACATATTATCTTATATTTTTTTTAAAAATTTCTTTTGACATTTCTGTCCATTCCATCCCCACCATCTCGTTTGAAGAAGTTTGATTCTTTCTCTTTCATAGGGATCCACCCCAATTCACACTGAAGAAGACGAACAACATTGGTCCCCTTATTTTTATCTATTTTCTTTTCATCTCCATTTACTTTCTTTTTTTATGTCACTTTGTTCTTCTCAAACGTTTTATTAAGTTCAGTTGAAGGTCTTACTGTGTATTATGGTATTGGATCATCAGTGATAACATGATTATGTCTAACGTTGTGTTGGAGAAATAACTAAAATATTTATATAAAATTATAATTTCTATATCTAAAAGTATCATAACCTAAAAAAAATAAATTATTATTTCTACAAATGATGTTAAAAAAAATAAATGGAGTAACTGATTTTTATTTGCTAATCATACATCTTCAAGTATACATAACACATTTTGTTTCTCCTGCCAACAACTTTTATGAGAAGCAAAGGATATAGTTCAATTTGACAAATATCAATTTTCAGAAATTAAAAAGAGACACAATGTGAACAATTTCGCTATATCATTTTTAATTTTATTTCTTTTTTGTTACCTATATCAAATATTATCATTATTATTATCAATATTCATGTTTCCTTCCTTATCATATTCTATTCGTTTTCTAATTTTTGCCACCTATCACCAAGCACAACAAAACTCATATAATTGTCATCACCACCAAATAAAAAACTGTAAAATTCCTCTAACAAAAGTCAAAACAATTTTTCCAAATTATAAAAAGCTATACTATATTGAATTGGTTATTGTGTGTTCAAAGATAAATAAACGTTACAATTGAAAACAAAAAGATGTTACTAAAAACCCAAATAAAGAGAACAAGACTGCTTATAAAAGATGTTGA